AACCTTTCTGTTGCTTATGTAAGCATATAGATTGTAACTTCCAACATAGGGGTGACTATTATACCGTTGATGATAGGTCTTAAAGAACTAAGACTAACTATCAGATTCGGGCCAGAGATTTGTAACAGATACTTAATTCTCACATAGGATTTAGCAGAGCTTGATTTTGATCATATTTTAATCTATTTATTTGCCTTTTGCCACCTTCATTCAATTGCACTAGTGTTTGCTAATGTTTGCTTTTGTTTGTTGAATGTGTTTGACTCCACTGAATGTGTAATCTGCTGTTTTTGAGTGGGTGTGCTATTAAGAAAATATGTGCATTCGCATGTGATTCTTCCAGCAACTTTCCAGAGTTAGACCAGCATCTTGTTTTCATTACAACACAACCTGAATGTTTGAATGTATTAAATATGTCCTTCATCAGACTGTGTTTTATTTGAGGATATAAGCAGTTTTATTACTGCATCAGAACATTTGACTATCTAACCTTGTCATGTATGCTTCGGTAGTTTCTAGATGGGTATTTTCCAATACAATATCAGATATGCACAACTGTGGGAGGCTGGGGGTTGCATGACCCTCTGAGGTCTTGGAGGCCTGCAGCTTCCAATAGTTGCCCAATCATTGCTTTTTTTTGTTAATTATGAATTGAATTATAATTGCCATTCTATTGATTTTATCTATGGGCATTCTGCCGATGAAATGTGGAACCCAGTCCAATTGGTCAAAGGGCAATCCTCCTTCCCTCTGCAGTCCCCTTGTAGTCCTACCACCATCTCTAGAGGGTTGGAATACTATCTGTGCCCAGTTTTTAGGTGGTAATGGGGCCTGAAACAGGAGGCGAGGAGCTCTATCATTCATGATCATTGCATTTGGTCATGTGTATCTATCCCATTATGTTCTGACCACACCTGTGAACGTAAGCACGTTCACCAGGCAAAAACAGCCAGGGGTCTTGTGCCATGCATGACAAGTAACCATTGCTGAAATTTCCTTCTCTTCCTTTGCATGCTTTCAAGATCTTTCTAACTTATAACAACCCTAAGGCAAGCTTGTCATGTGTTTTTCTTGCCAAGATTTGTCCAGAGGAAGTTTGCCATTGCCTTTCTCTGAGGCTGAGAGATTCTCGCTTGCCCAGGATCATCCAATGCACTTCCATAATCCAGAGTTGTAATCTAATGCTAAAACCACTACATCACACTGGCTCCCAAACCTTTCTCCAAAACCATTAAATGTGCAGGAGTCTTGTACTGGTTTTCATCTGCTTGGAGCCATGTAAAGCTCAGTTCATTCGTGCCAACCATTATAATTTTTAAACTAATCTTTTAGGACTTCATCTCATGGCATAAGTAAAATGTTTGAGAATATTAGTTGTCCTTTAAGCTTCACCACATCCTGTTTTGAAATTAAAGATTTTCCTACCCCATCACACCTAATCCTTTTCTCCGCTTAAAAAAAATCTGTTTGATTTGCCATCACATGGGAAACACGTGAAGATGATATAATAATCCCTTGAAGTTTAGGGCATATTTCATTTACTATATAAGCACAGATGTCTCTCAATTAAAAAGCAAAATCTATTTATTTTACATTTGAAAAGAGATCTATTTCTCCTTGGTCCCAAAATAGTAATAGTAGAAGAAAGGAAACAATACTGCCCATTTCGACTCCTCCCTCCATGATGACATCATTGTTTTATTTACAAATGAGCAAGGTGGATTCCCATCACATGTTAAATTGGGTGTTTTTACACGTCTCTACGCTGGGAAGTTAAAAAGAAGTCAATTACTAATTGACTTAGGAATGTGGGAAAAATCCACACTTTAGAAAAAGCAAAATATATGGAACCCACAGTTGAAGTTTGCATCATGTGATGGGTTTTGTGGGTTGCCAATTCTTAAATGTGTAGAAACACTGATTTTATTGGATGTGATGAAGTCCTTAGTTATCACGAAAATATTTCCCAGCTAGAAATGCAATTCCAGTTAAAGAGAGATTGTTTCTGTGTATCTTCAAGTTATTTCTGACTTATCACAACCCTAAGGTGAACGTATCATAGGATTTCATTGCCATGGTTTGTTCAGATATGGTTTTGCCTTTGCCTGAGAGACTGTAACTTGCTTTACATTACTCAGTAGATGTTCATGGCTGAGTGAAGAATTCAAACATTTGTCTCCGGAGTCATAGTACTCAGCTCAAGCCACTACACCACATAGGCTCTTATACAGAGGTACAGCAACATATTAGCATAATACTATGATATTAGTGCTGTGATCATGCTCTTATACAATAGTCATCATTAGAGAAAGATTTAAAACAAATAAAAAAAAACCTTGAGTGCCATGACAAGGGGGTACTTTCTGACCCCCATGAGAATTCTAATGTGTTTTGGAGGAATAAAAATGCTAATGTCCACAGGAATGTATCTGCATGCAGACCTACAGGCCATGCATTAAAAGCAGCTTTCTAGTTCTGGATGTGAATAATGAGTATATCAATGGCTATTAGTCATGATTATTGTACAGGACCTTTGTTTTAATAATTGTTGAGGAACCACAGGAAGAAGATGGTTTCATTCAAGTGCTGGTTACTACAGCTTCCTGGAAACATCTGGTTAACCATTGTGGGGAGCAGGATGTTGGATTTTGTGCATTTTTGTTCCAATTAAACAGCACTATTTACACCTTATCCAGCATTTGTCGATGACATTTTGCTGCCAGGGCTGATATGGTGAACTCTGTATGAAAATATAGGTTGTTCAAGAGCTGTGCATCATCATGTCTATTGCCCTTTCCAGCTTTCATTAGAGTACAGCCCAAAGCCCAAGGAACTGATAGATTTTGTACCCAGTACCTCTAATTACTAAGTAGAAAGGCCAGGGAAAGTAGGATTCTACCTTGTACCAAGTTGGGCTACTATTCCTTCTAGCCCAGTAGAATTATAGAAGGAGACTGCAAGGGCCATCTAGCCCAATTCTCTGCTGTGCAGGAACATACAATGAAAGCACTCCCAACAGATGGCCATCTGTCCTCTGTTTTAAAACTTTCAGATAAGGAGACTTTAGCACACTCTGAGGCAACATATCCCACCATTGAACAGCTCTTATCATCAAGACATGCTTTCTGATATTCAGGTGGAACCCCCTTCTCTTTGAACCCATTGCTCCATGTCCTAGTCTCTAGAGCAGCAGAAAACAAACCTTCTCCATCTTCAATACAACATCCTTTCAAATATTTAAACATATCGATCATGTTCCCTCATAACCTGCTCTCCTGAAAGCTGAACATACTCAGCTCCCTAAGCCATTCCTCATGACCTTTTATAATCTTGGGTGCTTTCCTCAGGACCCCTTCCATCTTGACAATAGCTTTTATAAACTGCAATTCTCAGAGCTGGCCACATTATTCTAGTATTGTTGATACTGGTAAGAGATTGCTCCCCAGGTTTTCAGGCAGGGTTATTTCATAGCTGTATATGCACATGGAAGGGACTGAATCTGAGACCTCTTGGCATGCAAAGTGTTTCCTCAACTGTTGAGTTCTAATTCTTCTTTTGAATGTTGATGAGAAGAATTTAAGAGTGCGCCTTTTGAAAAAAAATGCAAAACTTTTAAAAATGATCATAGATTTTGAAACATAAGAAGTTTAAAGGGCTTTCAAATGTGTAAACAGACTATTTTTTCTTTTGTGCAATGCAAAACAATCAGATGTTCTTCTCATCCAGTGATATAAACAAATGAGGACATTACATTCTTAGGAAGCATTGATGCTTGTTTGATCTGTGATCAGTGCCAGCTATTAGTTTGTGATTTGAATCCCATGTTGCTCAAGAGATTTACGTAGATATAACTTACTAATGAAGGAATTTAGTTTAATTTGTTGAGGACATTTGATGGATGATAACAACGATGTTTTGAAAAAAAGGTTTCATCAAGAGTGAAGACTCTCTCATTAAAAGTAATCACCTGGTTGAGGAACCCAAACAAACATTCTACCAAAAGGAATCTTCAAAGATGGACACAATTCCAGTGGAGTTGTTGCCATATGTATCAGATCAGATTTGAAAACAGAAATTAGTTCCAAGGAGGCTTAAGATGTAAAATCTGATTAAGAACCAGCACCGTGTAATACAGCACCGAGTATTTTCTTCTTGCTTGAAATTTTCACTGATTGAATTGATAAGATTTTGCAACACTTTCCCTCTCTCTGCTTGACAAAATGCAGGCGAAATTAGACGTTTTGATTTAAACGTACATTGCTTGACACATTTTATTCCAGGTCTACTAAATTGTGGAAGCCATTCTCATCTGTTAGTTTCTTACATTTATAGCAGGTATAAGGGTGTGATCTTGTGTGTGTGTCTATACACATACATACGCATATATACATGCAACTATAATGCTAATAGCAATGGGGAACAGTATTATCTTACTTTAATAGATGTTCTTTAGATTTGAAGATCTGCTGCAACATTAATCCCATTGCAGTATTTCCAAAGATCAAAAAAATCGTGTGAACAGGAATTGCACATGCTTTCTTCTATTTTATATTAAAAGTGGAATAAAATTTAACTTGAGTTAACATGAAAACATGAAAATGTGAGTAGATAAATAGGTGCCGCTTCAGCAGGAAAAGGCAGAGACCCTCAAAGCAGTCTTGCCAGTCACACAACCAGGAGGTAACAACACAGACTCCTCAGTTTGAAAATGGAGGGGGAAAAAACCTCCCCAGAGCCAGAGATGAACACTGCCTCCAGAAGCCGGAATTGAAAGGAGAAGCCTCTGCTTTTGTTTGTGTTTGTCTGTCCCATTGTATATGACTGTAAAAGCATTGAATGTTTGCTTATGTATGTAAATGCTGTAATCCTCTCTGAGTCCCCTAGGGGAGAAGGGCAGAATATAAATAATGTGTACTATTATTATTATTGTCATTGTCATCATTATTATTAATTTTCTATAACATGAGATTCTTGCTCCACTCTTATTTATCCTATTATAGGGACGACCTTTGCTCCAATCCAGAGAGATCTTTCATCTTGAAATCTGGAAGCACTACAGGAAACAAAATCAAAAGCATCACACAAAGAACAGCAATAATTGAAGGAAAGAATAAGGTATAGTAATCTGAATGCCAAAAGAAAAAACACACACCTTTTCACAACTTATCAGAATATGAAACTGAAGCCACTGTTGCTGATATTAACTTCAAACCAATTCTAACAGGTAATAATATTGAAAACAGTATTGTGACTTGGGGCATTTAGTAAGCTTCAGAGCTAAACTGAAATTTGGACTAGGATCATGCATCAGCAATCAGCCCTCATAGGATCACCGTTGCTCACTTTTTATCATAGTAGGTACATATGCATATATATCTTCCTTACTCAGATCTCTGAAAATTGGGTCATATTATCCATGCAAATAATTGCAAGCAGACTGGTCCTCTTCCATAGTGTAACCCTCAATGATTCACCATATGGTCTTCAGAGCCTGCTAACAATTAACCATAGAAATCTCCTTGTATTTTACATTCTTGTTGAGAGTGAAGAAAACAAAATGTTTGTGCCAAATGGGATAAAGTATTACTAATACATGATTTACCAAATAATATGGGAAAATACAAGAATTTATTATTGACTAACTGCTTCACTGTGAGCAGTTCTGTTGAATGTGTTTCCTTTCATGGTTTTGAAATTCTTTAAGTGTCCTCAACAGGTACATACCATCCTATTTCTTTAGATTAATGTTCCCTTGGATCAGAGCTGATTAATTCTCCACATAATTACAAATTTAATTGGAACATTTTTTCAGACAAATCATTTGAGAGATTGGGTTGCTGTAAGTTTTTCGGGCTGTATGGCCATGTTGCAGAAGCATTTTCTCCTGATATTTCGCCTGCATCTATTACAGGCATCCTCAGAGGTTGTGATGCCATAGATGCAGGTGAAACATCAGGAGAGAATGCTTCTGGAAAATGGCCATACAGTCCGAAAAACTTACAGCAACCCAGCAATTCTGGCCATGAAAGCCTTCACCAACACATTTGAGAGATTTGTGCCATTCTCATCCCACCGGAGCCCCCAGTGGTGCAATGTGTTAAACCCTTGTGCCGACAGGACTGCTGACCTAAAGGTTGGCAGTTCAAGTCCAAGGAGCTCCCATCTATCAGCTCCAGCTTCTCATGTGGGGATATGAGGGAAGCCTCCCACAGGATGGTAAAACATCCAGGCATCCCCTGGGCAACATTCTTACAGATGGCCAATTCCCTCATACCAGAAGCGACTTACAGTTTCTCAGGTTGCTCCTGACATGAAAAAAAATCTAATGTATTTTCTTTGCAGTCTCATTATTGGATGTTAGTGATACAGACAGAGAAATGCAATCCTAATCTTAAAACTGGCATAGAATTCAAAAAACTATTTGCTAATTCCTGCACAGAGGAAGTCAAAATATGACATTAATCTATCACATAATACAAGAGACCAATGAAGTTCTAGGGCAATGATTCTCAACCTTTGGTCCTCCAGATGTTTTGGACTTCACCTTCCATAATTCCTAAGAGCTGATAAGATGGCTGGGACTTCTGGGAGTTGAAGTCCAAAATATACGGAAGACTAAAAGTTGAAAACCACTGTAGGGTGGTTTTTGTTTTGGTTTGTTCTTTTCTTCTGTATACTAACATGATGGTAATGAAAACCGATCAGAACATAGTGCATGTTCTGTTTTATGCAGAACGTGCTGCATTTTGTTTTATTTAGTGGTACAGAATGGACTTCTGTATAAATCTCAATTGGAAATATTTGCTGATAATGGTTCATAGTTCCAGGATGTATTTTTAAACTTGAGCAGGCTGCCATTTTTTTTAATAAAAGCCCATAAACATGAATGATTATTTAAAGCAGTGTTTCTCAAACTCTGCTGTCCAAGTACCTTGGACTTCAGCTCCCAGAAATCCCAGCCAGCTTACCAGCTGTTAGGAATTGTGGAAGTTGAAGTCCAAAACATCTGAAGGAGCACAATTTGAGAAACTCTGCTTTAGAACACGAAGCTGGGCAATTCATGACAAAAAATAATTGCTCTATTTGTTTATTCTTTGTTGAAATGTGATCGGTTTCATAAAAGAGTGAATTTTGTTTTGTAAGCAAGCTTTCATCGGTCAAGTATGAGATCGATTCCCCAGGGTAAATCCTGATGATTTAATCAAAATATGCAACACATCTTACCCCATTTTTCAAACATGATACTCCCAGCAGCAAAAGAAGTTGCCAGGAAAAACATGCTGTTGGCATTATTCTTTTGCAATGATATCTAGTATCGAAACCCAAAATGTAAAAAGAAGGAAAAAGAGCCGTCACCCTGTGTCTGTCCGTTCTTGACTCAACAGATGAACCTGTTTCAAATGGGAGCCAGATTTTCCAATACTGTGTTATTCTTGCCAACAGCATTCACTGACTGAGTGACCTTTGGGCAGCCTGCAGGGTGCTTTGTGTCACCACGCCTCATTTATTGTAACCTGTCATCAGTACATGAGATAAATCAATTTTTGATCCTCTTCCACATATCCAGAATGTAGAGACTCTGATTATGTACAGATCCCCTGGGGAAGCTGCTTTCCTGTTATTTTCCCATTATTTCCATGGTTTTACATACTCGTTCTCCCTTCATTGCTAATCTTGCTTGCATTGGAAGATCAATGAGAAAAAGAGCTTTTTGAGGGTCTTGTAAGAGCTAACACTCTCCTTTCTTCACAGACTGCCAGCATATTGACTGTGGCTGAGTCCAGGTCCTCTGGAAGCTACAGCTGCATAGCTTCCAACAAAGTAGGAAGTGATGAAAGAAGCATCAGTTATTTTGTAACAGGTAAAGTGCAATTCATGCAATATGAAATCATGCAAATTCTTGGATAGAATTATTTTTATTGCTCAGAGAATAAGTATGGTGGATGCAAATAACAGAATTGCTAGAGTGCTACCACATTAATCTATATGGGTAAAGGTAAAGGTTTCCCCTGGCATTAAGTCTAGTCATGTCCAACTCTGAGCCAAAGAGCCAGCATTGTCCGTAGACACCTCCAAGGTCAAGTGGCCAGCATGACTGCATGGAGTACCGTTACCTTCCAGCCAAGGTGGTACCTATTTTTTTTTACTTTATTCACAATTTTTCTAGGGGGGGGTAATGATATTGTAAAAAGACTATAATAGGGGAAGGGTGGGGTAGGGAAGTTAGGGGAAGCTGAAGAGGTAAGGAGGAGGATGTATAGTGAGGTGGAAGGAAGGGAAATATCCCAAAGGAAAGTCAAGGGGAGGCAATAGGAAAGGGAAGAAAAAAGAAAGAAAGAAAAAGAAGAGGGTAAGAGGAAGGAAGGGGGATTTGTCTTTTTTCCCCAGTCTTCTTCTTCACGTGGTTATATCAACTTACAATCTTCAATTGGCCATATGTCTTTCCTCCTTTTGTTGGCTCCATCGAGATCGTGTTTTTCTTGACACCTCTTAATGGCTTCTATTAATCGTCTTCTTTATTCTCTTTTTTTTTCATATAGTCTTTAAATAGTTGCCACTCAGTTGTCTTGATAGGTCTTCCATTGTGTTTTTTCAAGAAATCTGTCCATATCCATAATGTCCCAGACCTTATTCAGCCACAGGTCTATTGGGGGAGGTTCTTCGTTTTTCCAATTCTTTCACTAAGGTGGTATTTATTTATCTATTCACATTTGCATGTTATTGAACTGCTAGGTTGGCCGAAGTTGGGCCTAACAGCGGGAGCTCACCCTGCTCCCCAGATTTGAACCGTCAACCTTTTGGTCAGCAAGTTCAGAAGCTCAGTGGTTTAACCCGCAAAGCCACGAGGGGGTTCCTTAATCTATATAGCATACAACATAATAACAGGCCGGAAATGCATATTTATGTATGTATTTATTTACAGTATTTATATTCCACCCTTCTCAGCCTGCAGAGGACTCAGGGCAGATTACAATGCACATATACATGGCAAACATTCAATGCCATAGACATATAACATGTATAGAAAGACACACAGAGGCAATTTAACATTCCAGCTTTTCTGGCTTCATGAGGGTTTGCTCAATTCCAGCCACAGGGGGAGCTGCATATAGCTAGCCATTGTTGTTGCTGTTGCTGTTGTTGTTGTTGTTGTGTGCCATTTCTGACTTATGGCAACCCTTAGGCATGTCTACTTCAGGTCTTTCCTGTCAAGATTTGTTCAGAGGAGTGACCCTTCAGCTCATGGATTCCCAAAGAAACTAAAGTGTTATTGAACTCTTTCTATACACCAGTGCATGTTGGAGCTCTCTGGACTAAAGACTTTGTGGTGTGAGACAGTCAATTGAACGTGAGCTCTTTGTAATTTGTGCTCCTGTTGTCAGTTCACCTTTTCTTCTTGCACTTAGCTAAAAAAACCTAAATGTTCTTATTGTTCATCCCTTGCTGAGAAACAACAAAAAAGCAGCTTTAAACTAATGCCAGTACAAAATACCAATGGCTGCAAACAAAAGACCAGGATGCTAAAAAGGATTTCCTTTCAGTATATTCAAAATAGATCCTTCAGGGCTAGACTGATTGCTAGAGGGTTGTTAGCTTTTCAGCAACTTTCAAGTTGTTCCCATTTGAAGTCTAGTTTGATCAGAGAATGTCAGGGAGGGACAGGAATGTGTGGGGCAGGAAGAAGCTGCCTTCCAGGGCCATATACTTTTCTGTACTGACCAGAGAGAAAAAATCCTGAGACAAATAGGAGGTCTACAGAAGCAGAACAAGACTGTTAGATGCCTGAGGCAAAGGACAGAATTGTGTCTTCTCTCTTATTCTCTGTATATGGACGTCCAATGGAAGTATGTGAGAGGAAGTCATAGGGAGGAGGGAGCAAGCTTGTTTTTTGCTTCCCTGGAGACTAGGGTGTGGAACAATGGCTTCAAAATAGAAGAAAGGAGATTCCACCTGAACATTAGGAAGAACTTCCTGACTGTGAGAGCCATTCAGCAGTGGAACTCACTGGCCCAAAGTGTGGTGGAGGCTTTTAAACAGAGGCTGGATGGCCATCTGTTGGGGGTGCTTTGAATGTAATTTTCCTGCTTCTTGGCAGGGGGTTGGACTGGATGGCCCCATGAGGTCTCTTCCAATTCTTTGATTCTTTGAATGGTGGTTGGAATGTACTCCAGGGCTTGTGACAGAACATTACAATAAACCACCTGAGATAGCAGGCTGGTTTAGGAGGGTGTGGTAGAACAGGTTGTATGAGATATACAGTTGTCTTCTGCACAAAAAAGAGGGGTGGGAAGGCAGGCAAGGAAATCCAGGTGAACATCTATGAGGTTGTGCTATTGCTGTCCCCAGCATCTACTCCCCAAGAGACTTTACTTACTCTGCCAATAAAAGGGCCCATCCTAGAAGCCTGGCCACAGGGTTGGAGGGCCACACTTCTCAGATAGTCTGCTTCCCCAATAAACAAGTAATAAATAATAGTAAATAGCAGTAGGAAACAAAATAACCCTGGTCTCGGAGTTGATATATTTGGTAGTTTGTAGGAGAAGTACATAAAAGGTTTTGATTGTTCTGTATCAACCAATGCTTGGAAGTAACATGTTATAAGTAATGATGTTATATGTCCTCCAATCTGCCTTTACCAAATGCCCCTGAAATAAAAATTCTTCACCTGCCAGAGGAAATATTCCTTTTGGTACATCTATGCTTAATTTTATTAATACTTACTTGGGCAATCCCTCGCAGCCTGAGGATGATAGCCCTCCAAGTGTAGTGTCTTGATGGTGAGTCTGTAGGTGGCAGTGGAGCCCTATTCTTGAGCTGTATGTTCTCCCACAGTGAGGAAATCGGTTTCGGGGTGGGAGGCAGTCCCGGTCAGGGTTGGCTTGACACGCCTTCCTCTTGGCACATTTCTCCCTTTCGCCCTCCATTCGTGTCTCCTTGAATTCAGCAGCACTTCTGGTCACAGCTGACCTCCAGTTAGAGCACTCCAGGGGCAGGGCTTCACAGTTCTTGGTGCCTATGCTGGCCACTTGACCTAGGAGGTGTCAAGGAACAACGCTGGCTCTTCAGCTTAGAAATGGAGATGAGCACAATTCCCTCAGAGTAGGACATGACGAGACTTAATGTCCGGGGAAACCTTTACCTATACTATGAATGACAGGACTCTAAGCATTTTCAACAGCCTGGTGAGGTCTTGCAGACCCAGAACCTTGATTGAAGTGATATTCCTTTTCTTCTTACTATTATTTCCTTTCCCAATGAGTCATATCTTCTTTTAATATATCTGAAATATGATAGCCTCAGTTTTGAAAAGATTGAGTATCTATAATGTACCATGCTCACAGTGGAACAAATGAGTTCAGGAATATTTGTTGTACCGTAAACTTTTGGAAGCTACAACCATGTAATCAGATGCAAAATATACTCTGATGTGAACCACTATTACAGTAAGTCCTGGGTATTTTATTCTGTTACATTCATTCTATGAGGGATCTCCTGACATCCAAAACTGCACCAATTTCCTTAGGAATCCTTTCATGCCAAACGGATCCATTCTTCCACGCACCCCAAGCCTTTGGCCTGATCCTTCCCCTGTTTTCTGACTGTTTTGCTGGCACACAGTAGGGCCATGGGTGTGTTTGTAATTACTGAGAGTGAGACAGGAACAGCACAGCCTTATCTCCTGGCTGGCCAGTGTCACTAAAGCATTTTATTTTGAGATTCCTGATGGTGCTTGGCAAAGATAAACAAAATCTTCCATCAGGAAACCTGGGAGCTATTTCCACAGGAAGTTTCAAATCACTAAAGTAAATAAAACTCTTTTACATTATTCCAGTCATATCCAGTTTGTCTCAGGCTTTAACAACCTACAAGACGTTGCAGATCAGGGGACCACATGTAAAGAACTTTGAGTTTCTTTTCTTTTTGTTTCCTTTTCCCTTTCCTCCCCTCCTTCCTTCCTTCCCTTCTTCCTTCCTTCCTTCCTTCCTTCCCTCCTTCCTCCCTCCCTCCCTCCCTCCCTCCCTTCCTCCCTTCCTTCCAAAATCACATAATTTATTTTGGTAGCATAAGAATTGGACTGAACGTTATAATATGGCCCCAACTCAGGGTAAATAAGATAGGACTTTGAAAGTTACCAAAGTGTCTATAAGATGCACAGTGCACCATTCGGCTTTTCTTTGGCCTTTTTACTACTACGGCCAACTCAAATTGTCCTTAATACAGACCGGGTCAAACTCAAAATTAAGAGGAAGAAGCTGCAGCTCATATGTTAGCCCATAGATTGTGTAAATTAAAACTTACACAATTTAATTACAACTGACACTTCAAAAACTGAAAATCCAGAAAAGGTCCAATTCTAGCCACACGTGCAACAAAATTGTTCTAGGGCCAAGAAAAAGTTATTTATTTTAGTTTTGAAATGTAGTCAGTGTGTAAGAGACCTAATAGAGACGTGAAAGCTAATTATGTAAATCAATAAGAAATGCTGTTTTATTAGCAGAGTATAAGTTTGTTTTGCCACTGAATTCATAGTTTAGTATTGAGGAGGAAACCATAAATGAGTTAGATGCAGGATCTTCCTTGCTCTGTTGGAAGAGATATCTCTGTTGTTCATTGAAGATGCTCTGTCCAGTGGCTGCTGGCATCTGGGCCAGTTCGGTTTTTGGCCACTTTGGCAACATGTATTTAAATATGGCCCCAACTCAGTGTAAATGGAGCACAATACAATCAATAACCTATGTGGCTGTGATGCTAGAGGGCCTTTTAATGCATTTGTTTAATATTGTTGTGAACTGGCTTAGCCAAATTGCAATAATGTAAAATTGATGTATTTTTTAGCCCACCTTTCTTCCAGCATAGCACTAATAATACAGTCAGCCCTCTGCATTCTCTGGGGTTAGGTAACCAGGACCCCCATGAAAATGAAAACCATGAAAAAAGAAATTGCTAATTCTTTTATCCAAAAGAGCACCTCTCAAGGAAATTTTGGTCTTCCAGCATGTGTTATTATTATCATTATCGTCATCATCATCATCATCATCATCATCATCATTATTATTATTATTTTACTGACACAAAAACACAGTATGTCACAGCAAATGAGATATATATGCTGGTTTTCGTATCACAAAATCACAAGTCAAACACTTCCCAAGCGTCTAGGACTGTGTGATGTATTTTGGAATAATGATGATCATCATCATCATCCTAGTGGCTCGAGTGGGTTACAACATAACTAAAAACACATAAGCATTATATAAAATACACACATTAAAACACATTTCTACAAATTACATATATTAAAATACACAGAAAAAAAGATTAAAATATAATGAATACAAGAAACAAGTTTTAAATTAATGATTAAAACTGGCTGGGTAGGCTTGCCAGAAGAGGTAGGCCTTCAGGTGTGTTTTAAATTCCAACAGCTCGTTTAGCTGTCAGAGCTCTTCTGGCAGGTCATTCCCCAGTTTTGGGGCATTCAATGAAAAGGTCCTCTGGGTGACAATTTCCAGTTTGTTTCTGGCTGGTTGGAGTAGACTTCCCCCAGTGGACCTAAGTGTTTAGGGTGGATTATAAGGGAGAAGTAATGTTTTTAACTCTTTTAATGTGTATTTATTTTAATTTTAATCTTAATTAAATGTTTATTTTAATTGTATGTTTTAAAGGCATTTAATAGTTGCCTATGTGTAAAGCCGCCTTGGGTCCCCTTCGGGGTTGAGAAGGGTGAGGTATAAATATGGTAAATAAATAAAGAAGGCAATCCTGTAGATAACCTGGACCCAAACCATATAGGGCTTTAAAGGTCAAAACCAACACTTTGTACTTTGGCAGCGAGTGGAGTGACTTTAGAATAGGTGTCATATGCTCACTTCTAAATGTTACTGTAACCACCAGTCTGGCTGCTGTATTTTGAACCAACTGGAGTTTCCAAACTTGGTAGTGGAAGTCTATGGCCGAATTTCACTGCAAGCTGACTACAGAATCACATTACAGGACCTAGATATTCCTAGAGAGGTGTTCTCTCTAGAAGTCTGTCTAGAAGTCTCCAGTATGACTGTAGGAAATTGATAATAAAGTAACACTGAAGGACTTAGAGATTGGGTTGTTGTAGGTTTTTTCAGGTGACATGGCCATGTTCTAGAGGCATTCTCTGACGTTTCGCCTGCATCTATGGCAAGCATCCTCAGAGGTAGTGAGGTGAGATTCCTAGGGCCCTTCCACACAGTCATATAACCCAAAATATCAAGGCAGAAAATCCCACAATATCTGCTTTGAACTGGGTTATCTGAGTCTACACTGTCATATATTCCAGTTCAAAGCATAAAATGTGGGTTTTTATTCAGTGGAAGGGGCCCTAGAGAGAAGACTTTCATCAAATCTGTGAATAATCAAATCTGCAAATGTCAAAACTGCAAATGTGGAGAGATGACTGTACAAGGCCATACTGCCTCTCATTTAGACCCTAACCCAATTCAGATACCAATGTGCTTGACTTCAATAAGATTGCATGCCCATAATCGGTGGCCAAGCATATTAGATGGATGAGAAGGATGATAGGTGAAATTATATTTTTATTAGAGTTTTCCATGAATGAAAATTATGTTCTGATTTTTTACAGATGTGCCAAATGGATTTCATATTAACTTAAAGAAAACACCCGTGGAAGGAGAGACGCTTGTGTTGTCCTGCTTAGCCAACAAACTTCTGTACAAAGACCTTGCCTGGATATTGCCAAGGACAGTCAATCAGACAAGAATAAAAAAGCCAGCCCTTAAGGAGTACTCCATTGACCTCACACTCATCATCAAGAATGTTACGCTTGAACACTCAGGGACCTATGCCTGCCGAGCAAGGAATATATACACTGGAGAAGATGTGGTTCAAGAGAAAGACGTTACAGTCAGAGGTGAGCACTGTAACAAAAAGGCTCTTTTCTCACGGATCCGCAAATTTAAGAGCGCAAGGAATGACTGTACAACACAACACAATTTAAACCATTAAAGGACTCACTAAAAATTGACAGCACTCTCGTAAAATCTTGATTGATTACTACTGTACACTTTCAAACACGAGAGGTTTGGACCTATAGACGGTGTAGCCCATGCAAAAACGAACCAAAAAAAGAGTGGAAAAAAGTGACCAGTGAATCCCTAAACCTGGGCTTCCAATTTGGCTCAGAAAGATTATGTCTGCTTTGAAAAAGACATGGAAGTTGGGATTTGGAAGACTTCCCCAACCCCCTGCATTGCATTTTCTGTGTTATGTTGTATTGTTCTTTGCTGTCTCCCACCAAGTGCTAATGAAAAACTTTGGACCCACCTTCTCTACGGCTTTGATATTCAGCCTCCTCTCAAGTGTCAAAGCTGGATAAACTGAAAACTTTTAACAGAATAGGGAAAAAAAACTTCTGGCTTTGGTCACCATTGGACTTTTGATAAGTTAAACTTTAAAAGTGCAGAATAAGCACAGCTCAGTTCGAGAGAGTGATTGGACTATGTTGGATTTACTTTAATTTGCTCTCTGTGGATTTATAAATATTGCCTGCCAAGCAAGTTCTATGCTTATTTATTTGAAGTCATTTTCTACACTAAATATATTAATCTTTTTTTAAAAAATAACTCTTCTCAGGGAAAGCTCTGAGGATGCAGAATAAGAAATAAACACATTGAAATAAGACACAATGGTTGTGGATTGTTTGCATAGATTAGACTATTTAAAACAGTGTTTCTCAACCTGAGGGTCGGGACCCTGGAGGGGTCACGAGGGGATGTCATAGGTGTCACCAAAGGCCGTCAGAAAACATAGTAATTTCTGTGTGGGTAGTTTGGCCCAATTCTATCATTGGTGGGGTTCAGAATGCGCTTTGATTGTAGGTGAACTCTAAATCCCAGCAACTACAACTCTCAAATGTCAAGGTCTGTTTTCCCCATCTGGGATACTTCCATTGCCTTGTAACTTCACCCACTTCTCTTAAACTAAAGCATAACAGAGTATTGTATAATAAAGAAGGAATATATTTATTTTAGAAAAAAAAACCACATGACATATACAGGACATGCAATATTAATGAAATTTCTTAGGCAAATGCCTTTGACACTTCCTACCAGCAGATTCAATATCAGGTCAGATCCCAAATGTATTCAGAGATAGAGGGAAAAGGCAAATCCTGGGAAATCATGGGAAGTTAAGCCATTTCCCATCCCTTCAATAAGCATGGCTTACCTACTGCTTACAACACCCTTGATAATTTTGTGACTGATAATTGCTAGTTAGGTGGAAGTTCTGCTTATTTCTCATATTGCACATTTAGAGCCTACCAAAAAATCKATACTTTCATATAGACCAGCATTTCCCAACCTGGGGGTCAAGACCCCGGGGGGGGGGGGGTTGAGGGGGTGTCAGAAGGGTCACCAAAGACCATCAGAAAACAGTATTTTCTGTTGGTCATGGGGGTTCTGTGTAAGAAGTGTAGCCCAATTCCCCAAACTCCACCAGTGTTTACATTTGGCCTATTGAGTATGTGCCAAGTTTGGTTGAGATCCCATCATTTTTTGAGTCCACAGTGCTCTCTGGATGTAGGTGAACGACAACTCCAAAACTCAAGGTCAATGCCCACAAAACCCTTCCAGTATTTTCTGTTGGTCATGGGAGTTCTGTGTGCCAAGTTTGGTGCAGATCCATTGTGGGCTGGGTTCAGTGTGCTCTTTGATTGTAGGTGAACTAAAAATCCCAGCAACTTCAACTCCCAAATGACAAAATCAACCACCCCCCAACCCCATCAGTATTCAAATTTGGGAGTATTAGATATTTGTGCAACATTTAGTCCAGTGAATGAAAATGCATCCTGCATACCAGATACTTACATTACGATTCATAACAGTAGCAAAATGATCGTTATGAAGTAGCAATGAAAATAATGTTATGGTTGGGGGTCACCACGAAATGAAGGACTGTATTAAGGGGTTGCGGCATTAGGAAGGTTGAGAAACACTGATTTAAAACCACCCAAGTTGGGTTCTCTTTCTTTGAAAAAATAAATTGAGGGTGCTTTTGAAGTGGCCATTTGTTTGGTTACCTTTTATTTAAAATTAATATTGTTATTGATAAAAATGTGTTGACATCTATGGAGAACTCTTCTTTGACAGAGAAATATGTTGTTGTTACAGTAAAAGAGAATCACTATATTCACTCCCTATTGGAAAAGTTTCGGTCAGCACAAAATAATGTTGAACGCATTAAAATGTAAATGTAAGGCTATTTGTTTGAGGTGCACTTAAAGATACCCTGCATACATCATTCCATTTTTATACTGAAATGATAATAGAATTTCACATAAGAATTCTAAAAAAAAAACTACTGATAGAGAATTAAAAGTAATTTATCATTACTTTTAAACATTTCTCATTGTCTTTTGTGACTTTATTTCAAGGTGTTTCTCTGTGTAATAAAAAATCTGTATAAGAAAGAAGTTACTATTTTTAATAGATCTGATAACTTTATTTTTTTACAATGTGTATCATTATTATATTTTGGAAGGGTGTTCGTTTATGATTAATTATGATATAGAAATTTTAGCCAAGCATGTGAGGATCACAATGGCGAGAGCAAAAATGGAAACAAAAGTGGCTTTGCTATTAAAACAAGAGGGTGACAACATGACAATTTCTTGTGCCTGAGAACTCGCCCACCCATTTCCTCCTTTAAGGTAGCAGGACCGTGTCCCCAGCCAAACTTGTCGTTCACGTGGGAATTGCTTTTGTCAAGTGTGAAAGGGTAAACAATAGCATTTCCCCCATCATGCCAATTTTTGTGGAGCCTAAATTGCTCTGAAAACAATTAGCTATCTGGAAGTTGTCAGGGTAAAGAAAAGAATGATTGTTTATGTCTTGAAATTTCACCTGTAGCCTTCTTGTATACAGCAGATCTCTCCCCACTCCCCCCTCTCATTATTACCATGATGGCTTCCAGAAATAATGTATGTTTCTGCAAAATAACTTTCAGTGGCCATTTCCAATATGGTTATAAAGCCATTTTGGTTACTTGGATTCCAGTGACAGCAAGGATTATTGTGTATTCATGGAAGAAAATGGGGAAAGGCCTCATTTAAGCAGAAATTACATGAGAATAAATATATTTTGTGGCAAAATATGTGCTGCAATGAAAGGACTTTGTCAATTCCTAGTAATTTGAAAACTAAAATGTAAGAGATTTCTGAAGTTTCAAAGAATCAGATTCAATTCATCATATGCTGATTCGGAGCTAGCTCCATGGAAAATTGATCATGATTTACCAAGGCTCCATCTGCACTGACCATTCAGTGTAGTTTAAACTAGAATTGAAGAAAGTGGTTTTGCTGCACAGATTATTGCATAGGAAATTTCGGAACCAATTTGATGCCCAGATGGTGGTTCCACAAATCACAGAGCACTGATGCGCACTAAGAATTTTCTTTTGCACACTTTTGTGAGTGTTCATTTCTTGGTCCCTGCAGTTTGAAGCTAGACTCTTAACTGCAACAAATGGTCAGTGTAGATGGGGACATAGTGATCCAAGGGACTTTTTTTTTTAAGTTCACCTATTTGGATAAATGGACATTACAGCAAGTCCAAGGAGAAGGAAGATAGCCTGGCCTCCATGACATGGAATTGGCCAAAGCTCCAATAGTCATGAATCGCAGAAGTGTATTTTTTGTTCTTGTTGGAATGTTGGGAAGATACTCAACAATTTTGTGTAAGGTGAAGAGTTTAGAAGACTGTCTTTTGCAATGTGATTGATGCATAGATCCTGCTGCCAATGTTACTGAACACACACTGGAAAAGGTTGAAAATTGTCCTTCTTTGGATGATTTATCATTTCAGTATATGACATGGAGAAATAATAACTGTAACTTAAGTTTGTATTTTTAACTGCATATTACCAGTTCAGTTGTGTATTTTACTGACTCATAATTGGTAATTGGGCAGATAATATAAGTTGCCTTATAATTACATAACAGTGTTAACTTAAAATAACTATGGAAAAGAGAGTTTAGAAATGTTGAATGTTGTTTTTGTTGGTTATATTTATGTACAGTGGGGTATTTTTTCTGTCTCAGGGTTAATTTTCTTCTCTGTCTTGCTACTGAAAGCCTAGGATCAACAATGTAACTGTAACGGGGTGTTTTTAGCCTCTCTGTAGTTCCCTACCCATTTTTATGATCAGAGAGAGAACCAAAAATGCACAAAGTGACATTGAAATTCACTTTTGATTGTGAGATGAATTGGCCAAATGATTATTGCAAATGAAATAATGCAGAGATTTCTATCTAAGTCAAATGGGAAAAGGTTAAGCCATTCAGACATGTCTGTGAAAATCCCTGTCTGTTTAGTTCAGAAAACACAGAAGTAGGAGTAAGGGAAAAGGTTATTTCTTGCTTTAACAAAGCATCTCCAAACCAGCTACTAATGGCAGCAGCCTTTTAAAAAGTGTGTGAAGAGTGATGCAAGTAAGACTTTTGAGTAAGAAAGTGTTTCTCAATATGGAAAAAATGTGTATGGCTATAAACAAATTAAAAATAATCAGAAATAACCATCAAACTGTGTGACCTCTCATTTTTTCCTCCCATGTGTTTGCTCTTTGTCTCAAATGACTTGGACATGTTGTTTACTAAAATAATCCAATGGAGCACAAATTCACACACATGATTGGGTTCGTCAGATTCTATAGACAGATCTGTGTTCAAATAGCATGTCTTCATAGACAACTAATTTTGAAGAATGTAAAATAGAATAGTCTATGATTAGTTATATATCAGCGTGGAATGGAAAACACAAGGGGTTGCCCTGAAAACTTTTTGTATGGGCTACCTTGAAAACATTTGGCTATAGCTGCATCATATTTAGGACCTGATTGGGTACAAAATGTGTGAAACAAGATTAGACAGATACTCTGTTAAATAGCTAATATTAATGTGAGGGAAACCCCTCTTTAATTTAATTCTATATAAAAGGAACCATATATAAAATGACACAAAATGGTTGTTCTCCCAAATGATTGCTGTAATCAGTGATATGAGGACTCTTATCATTTTCTATAGATGTCCAAATGTCCTACACAGAAAGGAAATTGCCATCTCAACAGTGAGTGAGATGCTGGCTTTGATCCCAACACATAGCCCATGACATACTATGACTAAAGAGAAAAATCACCACCACACTACCCTAAATGTCCCTCATCTTGTTTGACTTTCGAAAATGAGAAGGGTTACATCTACATAGCATGACAATGGCAAAGTACGAACTCTAACCAAGGATCTCCAGGTAGAGATCCTTGGTCAGGGTTGCTCCAGGTAGAAGCAATTCTGCCTGAAAGCCCAGAGAGTTGCTCCTACTCCTAAAGTAGACAAAACTGGAATAGACCAACAGCAAGGGAGCTTTCTATGCATTTCACTAAGCATTCTGTTCCAGGTGAATCTATAGCCCTTAAGTTCATAATAATTTTCCTTCCAAGAATCTGCTTTCACATATCCAATCACAATTGGCCCAACCATTGGGCAGTATGATGAGAAGTCAGCTAATTCTTGGTTATTAGCTCATTTATTAATGTATTTTAAACACCCAAGGTAAGAAAGAGGTGCTTGTTGGATGTCTTTATTTAAGGTTAGATGAAACAACTTGATTCAGTACTATGAACTTCAAGCTGAGGTGGGGTGGAACGCTATTTGCTGCTCTGTCTCAGGCAGCAAAGTGTCTTATGCCAACACTCTGTGCAACAAGATGTTGGTGTAAATATTGGCATAAAAGAAGTATTACAGATTCAGTTAGTCTGTTGTAATTGGACTAATGAACTCCATTTTGATAATAGCTGACATTGCATCCATGGCCTGTATTGTTTTGCTGAGTTTTGTCATTTGTGCTATATTAGAAATGCTATAACTCCATTATTATGTGCCCAGGGCCATCCCATCAGATATTATGGCTACAGTGCCAGATCCTGAGAAATTCTAATAAACAACAAACAATCTCTGATTACATTCTTTGCTGGTCACATACACCATTATGAATAACTCTGACATTCTGTAAAATACTGATGCTTGCAATAAACGTTACCTATCTCCCTATTTATGCAAGTAGATTGAACATAAAGTTGAGCTGTGTCATTCCTTTGGTTAAACTTAATGTTGTCTTTCTGCTCAGTTTTAGGGCTCATCCTAGCTTTGTGTCCCACCAAAGATGATACTGTAGGGCTGATATTTAAGTTCGACCCAAAAATGGTACCTGAGATGTAGCTACCTCAGTGAAAAGGTAGCTACATTTGGTTGTCTCAAAGGTAATTATACAGTGCTGGATCCTCTCTGGTGGAACAGCAGAATGCAACACAAAGAGTGGGAACAGATAAAGGATTCTTCAATTCCAGTGGTTCCTAACCTGTGGGTCCCCAGATGTTTTGGCTTTCAACTCCCAGAAATCCTAACAGCTGGTAAACTGGCTGGGATTTCTGGGAGTTGTAGGCTAAAACACATGGGGACCCACAGGTTGAGAAATACTGTTCCATTCCAATAGAAATCCCTACATAAACTGTGCTCAAGAGGTCTAGGAAACCTTCGGGCACCAGTTTTGGGACAACTCCAGGGCAGTTATGGGAAGTGAAAAAGAAAGTAGATCCACCAGTGTTATTTGACCAAGAAAACAGGAGTGGGATGGGGGGCATGAATAATGCAAGAAGTTGGAGTAAGATGGCAAGAACATTTGAAATACACAACGGCTTTATGTGGCTGATTTTAATATAGTGATCAATTCGTATGAGAAATATATTCATTCAGAGAAGGAAACCTTTTCACACCTCACCAGATGTACAGAAAAACATACAGCAGTCAATTTACAGCAGTCTAAATTTATTTCATGTTGTATGAAATTAAAACCTTCACATTATAGGGTTGAACATGCTGAAGGCTTTTTATTAAAACGCATTTAGTTCAGAAGGATGACTGTAAGGAATGACACATTCTACCAGTGATCTGAGATGTTTGTATGCTGTAAAATCCCCCCAAACACAATAAACTTATACAATTCACATTAGATTGACTTGTTGACATGGCATGACATCCCCTTGGCTCTTTGATGCTCAATAAACCAAAAGCTTAAACTCCCAAAGGCCTATTTTATATTCAAGTTTTGAAATTATGGTTGTTTTGAGAGAGAGAGAGAGAGCATGTGTTATCAAAATAAATGATTAAAATTGCATTCCTAATACAATTAGATTGTAAAGTAAAACAAACATTAAATGACATTAGTAATTTTGTCTGTCACTGCAGTACATTTCCCTGAAATAATTGAACTGGAAATAAAATTTGTCTTTACATTTTAAGAAAAGCACAAACAGAATATAGCTGAATTAGCTACTTTGTGTGCTGCTCCCTATTATTTTGCTGCCAATTACAGTAATTGTAGGTATTATTAGCTAAAGAAGAAAGGACCAGTTAGGCTATTTTTCCCCTTAAATTCTTAGTGAAATAGCCTACTTGTCATTATCAGATTTGTATTTCTCATTCCCATAGAATAATATTTCTTCACATCAAACAGTCGAGAAAACTATGTCATGTACAATACAAAGCATAAGACAAGCAATGAAAAACAAAGATAGACCCTCATGACTGTAGGAATATACTAACCAATCTGTCAATGTGTTTTGTAGCTCAGGAAGCTCCATACCTTCTCCGGAACCTCACTGATCAAGTGATCAATACCAGCCACTCTGTTAGCCTGGAGTGTCATGTTTATGGTGTGCCCGAGCCTCAGATATCCTGGTACAAAAACAACAAACAGATACTCCAAGAGCCAGGTGAGTCTAATACTTGTCATCCTTTCTTTCCTCGTACAGGTAGAGAATCCCTTATTTCAAATTCCAAATTCCAAGATACTCCAAAGTTCAAAATTGCCCACATGAGATAGGGGCATTTTTGTTTTCTGATACCTGAATGTACACAATTTGTTTCTTTCAGAAAATGATTACAATATTGTATATGAAATTATTTTCAGGCTATGCATATAAGGTGCCTATGAAATGTAAATAAATTTTGTGTTTTGACTTGGGTTCCATTTTCATTACATCTTATTATTTTTTTTGCAGCCTTTATTTTGGTCAATAAACCTTCCCCTGTAGTCAAGTGGGAATAAATTACATTTGAAGTCAAGTGGGAATAAATTACAATATGTAATTACAAATTATAAAATTACAAAATTTGAATCATATATAACATCAAGTTCTGACTCATGGTATAGGCCAAACAGGGTATAGGGTCACACTCCCCCTGAAGGTGCAGGTTCGCAGCTTGGGAGTTATCCTGGACTCATCGCTGAGCCTGGAACCCCAGGTTTCGGTGGTAGCCAGGGGAGCTTTTGCAAGTATGACTTCCCGTACCTTGGGAAGTCAGACTTGGCCACGGTGGTCCATGCTCTGGTTACATCCCATATAGATTACTGCAATGCTCTCTATATGGGGTTGCCTTTGAAGACTGTTCGGAAGCTTCAGTTGGTCCAAAAGGCAGTAGCCACTTTGCTTACTGGAGCGATGTACAAGGAGCACACAACCACCCGTTGCATCAGCTCCACCTGCTGCCGGTCTGCTACTGAGCACAATCCACAGTGCTGGCTTTACCCTACAAAGCCCTAAATGGTTCCAGCCCAGTTTACCTGTCAGAACGTATCTTCCCATCAGAGCCACCTTGGAGATTAAGATCGCCTGGGGAGGCCCTGGTCTCGATTCCACCCTCCTCGCAAGCACAACTGGTGGGGAAGAGAGACAGGGCCTACTCAGTGGTGGCACCTTGGCTGTGGAACTCCCTCCCTAGTGACATTAGATGAACCCCCTCCCTCCTAACCTTCAGAAGGAGAGTAAAAACCTGGCTCTGGGATCAGGCTTTTGGAGATGGTGCAGTGCAATAATGTAATTGGAATATGTGCAATGACTAGCCTATAGCCTTAGACTCTGATTTTTGGATGGTGTGATTTTAATACTGAATGTAATTTAAAATGTTTAATATGCATTAATTTTAATTCAATTGATTTTAAGTTTACTGTTTGTATAAGTTAAGGCTTTGAATAATTGCCATATGTAAGCCACCTTGAGTCCCCCTTGGGGGTAGAGAAAGGCAGGGTATAAATAGGGTAAATAAATAAATAAAGCGATAATCGATATCTGTAATCTCTACAAGTTGAGTCACTGTTTTTGTATCATCGAACTAGTCAAAGTTCTGAATTGAGTCCCCTAAGTGTTCTTTATTATAGGCGAGGGAGAGCATGTGAGGCTGGAGGGAGGCTTGTGCCATCGAGTCCCTTCAAGGCACGGGGGTTCTGTGTGGGAAGTCTGGCCCAATGCTATCATTGTTGGGGATCTGAATGTTCCTTTATTGTAGGTGAAATATAAATCTCAGCACTACAACTCCCAAATGTCAAGGTCTATTTTCCCCAAACTCCACCAGTGTTCACATTTGGGCATATTGAATATTTGTTCCAAGTTTGGTCCAGAGCTATCATTGTTTGCGTCCACAGTGCTCTCTGGATGTAAATGAACTACAGCTCCAAAACTCAAGGTCAATGCCCAGCAAACCTTCCAGTATTTTCTGGTGGCCATGGGAGTTCTGTGTGCCAAGTTTGGTTCAATTCCATCGTTGTTGAAGTTCAGAATGCTCTTTGATTGTAGGTTAACTATAAATCCCAGCAACTACAACTCCCAAATGAAAAATTCAGCCCCCCCCCCCCCCAAACTCACTAGTATTCAAATCTGGACGTATTGGGAATTTGTGCCAAATTTGGTCCAGTGAATGAAAATACATCCTATATATCAGATATTTACATTACAATTCATAACAGTAGCAAAATAGCAGTTATGAAGTAGCAACGAAAATAATTTTATGGTTGTGGGTCACCACAACATGAGAAATTGTATTAAGAGGTTGTGGCATTAGGAAGGTTGGGAAACACTGATACAGACTTTCATAACATTTCTTCATACAAACCGAAATTGAGAGTTTCATAGATTGAGTAAATGAACATTCAAGGCTCTTTTACTTTTGTCCAGAAATAGGCCACTGGATGAATTGCTTCATTCCTCCACCTCTTAAAGCTGGTTTTTGAGTCTAACCTAGTGACCATAAGATCAAGCCAGCCATTGTTGCTTCAAAGCTTCATGCTTTTTTATTTTAAAAATGTGTTTATTTTTATTTAGTAGGGTTCTGCCCCACCCTTCAAAGACAATTTTTCCAGGGTGGCTGAAAGAGAACAAATGTTGAGGTACTTCCTGCTCCACAGGAAGGAACTGCCTTCTGGAAGTGCCTTAAATGTACTTCAAGGATGTTTAGATCAAATGTATTCTTGGCACATTTTTAAGAACCTTCTAGTATAAGCAGCGTGCCAGGTCCTACAACTCTAACAGCTACCACCCTAAAAGACATTTAGTAATACGGCCCAAATCTCTTGCACCCTTCTCCATTTTGCATGGCATAGCTATTTTTTAAAAGGAGAACTCTTTAAAGGTAGAGTAATGAAATGTGGATTTCCTGCAACAGAAGAAATGAAAACATATAAAAAGGTTGCAAGGTTTAATGCCAGCTGCCCCCCACCCCCACTGGAAATTCCCTACTCATTGAGGAGAGGGATCAACAATCAGAATTGTAAGGTGCAAAAATTGCATTCCTGACACTCTTCCACAGGGGATTGAAGGATATATCGGATTGATGCCTTTGAATTCCTAGGTCAGAATTAGTTTGTCACTAACAATGCAAACTGCTATGAAAGACTTGGCCAACATTAGTGTGACCTATTTAATAGAGAAGCCAACGTGACTTAGGTAAGCAATGAAACATCATTTTTAAATAATAATAATAATAATAATAATAATAATAATAAATTTTATTTATATTCTGTCACCATATCACCAAATGCACTCCATAGTGCATCATAAAACATAAAAACAGATTTATTTATTTATTTATTTATTTTAAATATTTATATTCTGCCCTTCTCATCCTGAAGGGGACTTAGGGCGGAGCACGGCATATATACGGCAAACATTCAATGCCGGGACAAGAATTCATTATATGCATACATAAACATTAAAAACATTTGTCTTAATATTAAAATACATTGTTTAAAACTGTCTAAAACAATAACAGATAAAATTATAACTCACATAGCATAAAATAAAATGGCTCAATTTTAAAAAGTAGATAAAACCAGCTGACAAAAATTAAGATACATGATGGTTTTAATGCTTGTTGATGTATTGTCTTAATTACGATTTATGTTTAATTGTGGTTTTACTATTGTAATTGTTTGTATTGGCATTGTATCGGTGCCCAACGTAAGGCATTGAATTTTGCCATTATTTATGTGTAAACCGCTTTGAGTCCCCCCAGGGGTGAGAAAGACGGTATATAAATACTGTAAATAAATAAATAAATACTAAAGTGCCAGAGTGTCAGCCTCATATAGGCCCATTACAGCTTACTTGAGGTCAAAGGCCTTGAGTAGAACTTCACCAAAGCATATTTGTTTTTCTGTGAGTTTCTCTTTGGAAGAAAACAGCAATGTTGACATACAGTAGAGATAGGAACACATGTTCTTCCTAATATTGAACCTGGCAATTAGTATGGGGACTCATTTGCTATTGATTTGTATTGAGCAAGTAGAAGTAAGTACACAACTCTGGACAGAAAGTACTTCTCATAACTGATAATAGCATAAGCAGTATAAGTTTGAAGATCAGTAGTGTTTGTCTTCCTTTTACTATGCTGTTTCTCTTCAGCCATCACCTCAGTTGCCAAGTATGATATAACTAATATCCACTAAACATTAACAATCATCAGGCTGGGGTCTTCCAACATTACAGCTCATGAAAGGAACATTTTTCATTATTCACTATATAAATATTTTCTGGGAAACAATCTCTACATCACACATATATCATGTTTTCCTGGAAGGATAGATAGCATTATTTTTGAGTCTGCAGCCCAAATTTCTTTTAAAAGAAGATTCACTTGAAGAAGCAAAGTTTCACATTCATGCATTGTTTCAGTTTATTTCAAATATTTCCCCTTCTACAGGTATAATTCTGGGTCCAGGAAGTCAGAGTCTATTGATTGAAAGAGTGCAAGAAGATGATGCTGGCCAATACCAGTGTGTAGCTAGTAACGTGAAAGGGACAGTGGAAAGTTCAGCCTACATCACCATTCAAGGTAAAACATTGCATACAATTAACAATGGGCACTGTTGGGTTGATGTTTCCGCTTAGATTTGCTCATCTGTTCCCAGTTGCTACCCATACAGAAGATCTTGGTTTTTCTAGAAAAACAGGTAAGTAGCCTGTTGACTGTGTGTAATAATTTTTTAAACAAAGTCTTAACAAGGGAAATGCACCAGGTCAAGAAGAAAGCCAAAGGAAATGCAAGATGGGAATATGTTTATACCGACTCAAAAATAAGCATCACTGTAACCCAATGACCATAGGGTCAGGGTAGAAGTAGGGTGTATATTTAGCCTTGTTAGAGACTTTGCGTTGCTTCATTTCCTCTTCCAGACTGCCAGAGGTCAGGATGAGATATATTTGTCATTTTCGTGTCTTTGATTTCAAGACAAGAGTGAACTGTGAGATAGAACTTGCAGTCTGTCCAGTAACCAAAAATATATTTATAGATACATTTGCTTTCTTCCTCCTGGTTTCTAATATCTGCCCTTTTAAAAAAGCAACCGGATGGATTCTTAGTTTTATAACATCACGTCACAAAATCTTGTGATTGAGTGCCCTAATTATAATGAAGCATTTCTCCTTTTGCTCATTTTCTCCTTCGGGGGAGATTGGGATTCTTTTGTTGAGCATCTCCAAATTGCCTCTTGGATTTTCCTTTCCCTTATTGACATAGAGTACAGTGTCAATGATGCCTGGTGATGTAAGGCAAGTATTTATTCCATTCTCTCCCAAGGGGGCATTTCTGCATATAAGTGGAGAACTACATCTGTGGCAAAGGTCTCCAAACACTACTTTCATCCAAAGAAAACTAAACGCAGTGGTGGTTCCCCTAAAAAATTTTATTGTTGAGGGAGGTGGGGAATAAGTAACATTATACAAAGACTATCTAGGTAATATAAATACATGATAAAACCAATATTATAGTTGATTGTGAAAGTTGTGTATGCATCCCATCACACAGGAGTAATGCAATTCATTTAAGTCAGACTACATCAATGAATTGCTCCATAGTTTGACAAATTTGAAAGGAAGAAAACAAAACAATCTGTTACTCAAGCAGGAAGGAAGTTGTCTGCTCTTTGTATTTCCTTTAAAAAATATTTTGTCTTTACCAGGACAACTATGTGCTATTTTGTGATCAAAAGGAGATGAATGAAGAGATGGTTCAGAAAGTCTGCTCAGCAATGAAATTAAGGAGCAATATAGTAAATAATGGTTATATAAATTTCTGCCATAGATTTTTCAAAGCACATCAGTTCATATGTCGCACCCCAGAATTGAAGTCAACTATGACCATAGCATCACACAAGAGTTCAGAGTAGAAGCAAACAGTTTATTGCAAACACACACAAAAATATATGGTAAAAAAGAAGGAATAATGAAAAAAAGAAGGAATAATGAAAGTCCATAAGCAAAACTTAAACAAGAATACAAAACAAGAATATGGAGAACTCCCAGATTACTAATATACAAAGCCAAGACTTAAATACAAGAACTAGAGAACCTAGGCTTAGCTGTACTTGAAAGCCACGTTGCCTGAACTGAAAGCAGAGTACCCGTTAGTTCCCTAATAAACAGACATTATGTCTGCCCTGGAATTTCTGCTTCCCACGAAGCCATGTTGATCTATGAAGCTGATTATCCATGTTAATCTGCAAGCATGCTTTCTTGCTTAGGTCAGTATCTCCAGGTACAGAGTTTCTCATCAATTCATCTTCACTAGATTCCTTATCTAGAGAGGATGAATCCAACTCCTATGACTGGCCTTGAGGTTCAGAGGCAGGCCCAGCATCTGAATTAATCCCAGGAAAGCCCACAATCCCATCTGATTCTAAGTCATCAGTGAAGCCATCAGCCCTTGGCTGCTGAGCTACAACATCATATGGTATCTACAAATTTTAATGGGTTGTTAATATGCTATTGCAGTTCCTCAACACAATTTGCGAGTATGTAGTTATTACATGCATATAACCTTGGCCAACATCACATATATAATTTTGTTACTCTCACACTACAACACTGTGATTTGCGTCACAACCTTCCTCTGAATGCTTTTTTGGTTTTACCTGCATATTAATTACAACCACTCATTTTGCCAAAAACTAACATTCCTGCCTCATATTTCCCACAACCTGGAGCATGTCCTTATAGGAAACCCCACTTGTTGGAGTTGTGACTGAAGAATTATATGCACACTAGCAATTTTCCCAATACGTGCTGCATATCCCAGCCAAAGAAATACAATTTATGCCACCCAGATCTCCTGGAATTTCACCATTCTCTGTCATTCCAAAACTCTTCAAGCAGTCAGTCATTTCTCAAAAGACTTACATATTTTAAACTGCATATAATTGTATCATATCACATGCCAAGGCTAGCTCCACTTCATTTCCCAGTTCTCCTATTTAGAATACATTTTTCTATATAATATATATTGTATACCAAGTAATAATTCTCTGCTGAAAGAAACTATCTAGCAGATCTAATCAGTCCTATGAGGTTTTCCATAAACAGCCTGGTTTAAACAAAATAATTTAATTGGCAATGATATAATGAGTACTGGATTACTACTCCAAAGAGAATTCAGCTTAGACTTCAAAACCCCAAATTCCTGATTATGTGGAAAGAGTTAGGTCTGTGATTGAACCAATGACTGTTAGCAAGGGCTTTTGACAACTTTGGTTTAATGATTTGGTTTTGGAAAACCAGATGGTCTGATTTGATTTCTTAAGATCTTTTGAGATCCCTAATTTAGTATATCTGAATGGCTACTTTCATTGGTTAGAAACCATTGCTATGAAATGTCATCCCACATAACATTACATTTGGGAACCAACTCCAAACTAAGTATGCAATTAATCGATTTGTTCAGGTTAACAATAGACTCACTATCGTGAGGAAAATAAAGAGAACTCTTGACGGTTCTAATAGGGCGCAACCTACCATATTTTGGAAAACACAGAGACTTTGAAAGTCTCGGATGAAGTAAAAAAACAACCCCCAACAAAGAATCCCGCATTCTCATATAAAAAGAGCAAAGTTTCCTCATGTGGTTGCAGATCCATGCTTTCTGTCTTATGAAAGGGTATTTAGTAACAGCAGAAGTAGATCTTGAACAGTTCATCTCAAAGGAGAGCTCATAGTTCATTTCACTGGAGCAACAATCCTGGCTCAGAATAAGGTAGCTTCATTGGTTCATATGAATTGGAATTAACATTGGCAGGTCCCTTTTAAAGAGTTGCTTATTTCGAATGTATTATTTCCCCATTTGTAAATGGGGGAATGTGGTAACAAATAGGAATTTATTTATCACAAAACAGATTTTGCCTTGGAGACATTGTTGACTACACATTAGGACCTGAGCTGCAGAAAGCCACCCAGCATGTGTCCAATTGTTAGTCGACTCAGAATCAGGCAGGACAGATGTTTGGTTTAGCCAAGCACCCCACAAGGAAGATATTAATCGTTCCTTTCTCCTTTGCCAAGAATGATGTGAGCTAGAGGTCTGGGCAGCAAGAGGAGAGACAAGGAGATCACGTTCCAAACTGGTTCTTGCTGTCTCACTGATGTTGTTGTGTGCTATGTCAAGACGACATTTCAAGAGAATGACAGGGGAGGAGGACAAGAATGAGTCTGTTAAGAAGTTGTGTATACTTTGTGACAATTAACTGAAAATGAATCCTGCCTTTGGAAAGGTTTTATGAGAATTGTGTGGGGAAAATACTTTGAAGTTCATGTTTTGGTGGAGAGTGCTGAATGCTCTCTAATATTTTCCAGATTTAACCCCCTTTTTGTTTGTACTATTTGGGTGCCAGATATGATCCATATATTTACTTCAAGTTGTGACTTCATAGAATCTCTTATTACAGGACCATTGCTTTTGTGCTACATCAATGGAATCCAGCTTTTAATTTTTAGCAAAGACTTAATGGACAGCATGCCGTATAAAAGAGCAAGTAGCCAAAACAAGATATGAGGAAGGACCCAGTATAAAAAAATGTACTGGGTGTTGCACCAATGTAAAAATATGCTGAAATGTTAGACTGGTGTTACAGTTCAGATAATTTCTCCACCTGGGATGCCGCATAACTGCAGCTTTCCAATACATAGGCTTCTCCAGATGTTATGGACCACAACTTCTTTCATCTTTGGCTGCTAGTCATATTAGATAGGACTGATCAAAATTAGAGTTCAAAACATCTGGCGTTCACCAAATTAAGGATGGCTGGCCTATTTAATATCATAAAGTCAGCAGTGCTTTTCTTCCTCTGCCTCCTGAACTTGCTGTCCAGTAACTTTTCTCTGAAAATTCAACCAAATATTGCACAGTACACATCCTGAATTATTACAAGCCATCTGGGATACTTCCATTGCCTTACAACTTCACCCCCTTCTCTTAAACTAAAGCATAACAGAGTGGTAGCATACAGGATTCAAATACCTAGTATTATATAATAAAGAAGGAATATAGAAAAAAATGAAGATTGCTTAGGCAAATGCTGTTGACACATCCTACCAGCAGATTCAATATCAGGTCTGATTCCAAAATGTATTCTGTTCAAAGATAGCTCGGAGGGAAAAGACAAATCCTCTAATCCGTCTTGGTGTCCTGGAGTATGACAAATGATGCTGTTCTGTGGGTAGTACTAAAGTAACATACAGCTGGGAGTCCAGTCAGTTTCTGCATGTGGAATGAGGGGTAAGACATCACATAACTCTTTGCTTGAGGAACCAAAATGTCTTGGAACCAACACCTGGCATTAATACCAAAAGAAAAAAGAGAGAGAAAAGAAGCTAAACAGAAACCAGGAATCATGATCAGGTTAGCGAGAAAAAATTGAGGAAGTGATCCAATCTATTTTATTTGCTTTACTTATATACTTTGCATCCCCAGAGTGGGACTCAATCTGTATCTTCTTTGGTAGCTTATTTGTCTTAGGATGCTTAATGGCAAGCATTTCTGTCTTATCTGGATTCAGTTTCAATTTG